TTTGATCATAAAGTTTAGAGTCCACAAATAGCTGACCTGTGTATTCGAACATCTGACATTGTCTGGCCTTTGCATTGTACCAATATCTCTTAACACTTTCAGTACAGTCCCCTACCCGTAGTGGTTGGGCGCATATGGTTTCTGCAAGCAGGAGAAATAATAAAGGTATCGTTTAAGATTAATATTTATTTTACGTTTTCTAGGGCAACAGACTCCTTGATCAACTCGACATTCGTATGAGGAGGGACAGTGGCCATTATGCTGGCATCTTTGAGCTTCTTCGCCTACTCGGAGAGGTGTACCTCTCTCGCATTGTACTAAATTTAACTTATTTTCACTAAAAATTCGTGAAAATATCAAAAATTGGAGCGATCTGAACTCACATCGGGCACAGTACAGCTCGCACTCATGCCTTGATAGGAAATTATTGAAGTTACCGCCAGCTCCTCGATAGACAAAGTCTTGGCATCTTCCAGTGTTGGTGTCGTAGTAAAACCTATAAAATTGATAGGATTTTGCGCTTTTTTTCACTGTTTTCTCCCCAAAATTCAACTCGAAAATCCAGCACAGACTGCTCCTCTGGTTGAACCAATCAGCGTCCTCATTTACTATAGTGATTACGGTATGGGCTTGAGGTTGTAGCGTTTTGAGCTTTTTATTATTTACCCACGACAAATCAATAATTATAGACAATACCACTTTTGCGAAAACCAGACCTGATTGCTTCCTTCCCTGTACTGACCAAGAACCCCGCATGGTAAATGGTCGGACGTGGTATCAGATCGAAGGGACGGCCTCCTCTAACGGAGCATACGGATCCTAACAGCACATCTTTCGATTTTGATTACTTTCTCTGAAAGTATTTTACCTGGCGTAGGGCAACACAAGTGCTGACTTCCAATAGCGGAGCACTGATAATCGCTTGAACAACTGGTGATGGTAGAACACGAAGTCAGCGGACGCTGACCGTTTAGGCCCTGCTCACCGGAGTATTGTGGTGAACCTCGTTGGCAAGCTTAGAATGTTCCAGTATAAATGCTGCTAGAGTGGGAGGGACTTACTGTCTCTGCAGTAGGATTCGCAATGCTGAATAGTCCTAAAATTGTTGGCAGAGTGATAACGAGCTTCAGATGCGGCAGGATCCCACATGAACTGTTGGCACGTGCCTAAAGTACGAGCGGTTAGTCTTGTTATTTGCATACCAGAACTTCTGGTAGGTGAACAAATGTGTTTCCCAAAGCGAAAACTGCTTGACCTCTTCCTATAGAATTTTCTTGGCGTCATCATAGTTTCTAATTAGGAAGAATCATCCTAATTTGCTAACAGACAGTTCAGGATTACAGATTTATTGATAAAGCATATGCAAGAAAGTTACAGCGAAGATGCTGTGGAAAGTTTAAAAATTGGACCATGATACGTTGTTCCTCAAAAGCAGTAAGTAAGACTTTTGTTGGGCTCTGCTATACTTTTGTTATGAAAGTTGCACTTGTTTAAAGCATGCTTTCTGCAAAGAAACGGAATTCTGACTCTACCAGAATTACATTTTGCGACTTTTGATATTGAAGTCGAAATTGGTAATCTTATGAAAAAATTACCAGTCACTGAGTTGTACCACCATCGTGGTTCTGTGGGATTTGGACCAGTGACTTGCGGCTGAATACATGCCAAAGCTGGAAATAAATTCATACAGCACCAGTTTCCAAAAAAATATCTACGGTACCTCGGCTAGGGCAGCACACACCGTCTGCTGTAGGAGCATATGAAGATAGTGGGAATTTCGATGCTAGGTTAACCTAGAAAATAAATTTTACGAATTAAGCGTTTACAGTTTGATGGAAATTTACATGAGGGCTTGTATGTAGGCAGTCATAGATGTCGCCAATGTATTCCCCATCAGATGGCCATATACAGGCTCCTCCACCGTGTAAGCCAATCACTGGCTCTATTGTAGCTGAGGAGCCTACAGTGCATCCGACCGGCAACGATCCCGATTCAGGGTTAGGGTCATTCAGAGCTAAATATTATCCATTTATTTTGGTATATGATCCGTGTCCAAACTTACCTATTTTGAACCCTGCTCCTTCTGGTAAGGGGCACACAAAGTAGAGTGGTACGGTAGCGCCTGTGCTATGATCCGTGAGCGATACACAAACCCAACCGTCCCGGGTTTCTCGGGCGACGTGGGTTTCTTCTACAAAAATCTTTCTGTTTAAGTAAGGAAATGGATGGGTTAGCTTACCTGGACAGCGACAAGTGCCAACGCTGCTGTCCATTCTGCATTTGGCTCCTGGCCAAACAGATTCACACTGTATATCGTACGTACAACCAGGCTGATTTGGGTTCACTTCTGAACATTACGGTATTTCTTTGAGGTGATAATTTCACTGCGAATAGAATAAAGAGAATATCAAGGTCCACAAACCCACTTTCGTAGCAATAATACTCTCGCATTATGAATGTGCTCAAGCATGTGCACACGCCTCCTGAGCAATACATACCCTGAAAAAATAGATTTTGCGCAGGGTCAAAGAGTCCAACAAAGTCCAGAACACTGGACTAAACTTTGAAAAATTCTCAAGTTTTGAAACCATGCCAAAAGCTTCATATTGTGTCGAAGCTGGGAAAATCTCACCCCTAAGCAGTCGGTATTGAACTGGCAGGCATCGCCAACGCGGCCGCTA